GTTGTGGGAATTTCGCAATGCCAGCGAACCCGTCCTTAGAGATTCACAATACCACCGAACCCGTTCCTAGGATCCAACGAGGTCAGCGAACCCGTTTCTTACAACTCAATGATGTCAGCGAACCCCGTTCTTGAAATTCACGATGTCAGTGAACCCACTCTGGGAACTTCGTGATGCCAGCGAACCCGTTCTTGAAATTCACGATGTCAGCGAACCTGTTCTGGGAATCCCACGAAGCCAGCAAGCCAGTACGTTTTCACTTGGCCATATTTAAAAAGGGGTTTGGTATTTCAACTAAATTTACCTAATAATGGAATAATCATCTCTCTTATTTCATGGCTCTCTAGCGACATCGTCCGCTTTCAAGTACTGAAAAGTCAGGAATCGATTAGTTGGGCAGAAACTGCTGCACGGCTACGGCTTCCTCAACCATTAAGTCCTTTCATCTAAAACAGTGGTTCTCAACCTTTTTGCCTCGCAACCACTTTTGGATATTTTCCAACATGTAACAACCCCCTTCAAGATATATGCTGAAATTAAATTAGTAGACCCTACAAAAGAAAGAATTAAGCTTTAACCTGTTTTCTGCTAAAATAGTTATATTAAATAAATTTAAATACTCTTAATTACTTATCGATTTTATTCGGTAAGTATGTTGATAGGTATTTGTCTGTCTGTTTGTCTGTTTGTCTGTCTGTTAGATGCACGCGATATCTCACGAAATCGAGATTGAATCTGCTCCAGATTTTGCATGTGCATTCATCATATGTCGTACCAGAAGCCTAATTGATTTTGGATGAATTATGTAGTATAATTAGCGAGTTAATAATTAGTTAGTGATGGGACACAAGATGTCACTATGGAGTAAGAGCGCTGTTTTGGGGGATCCCCTAACTTTCGATCGATAAGTCTTCGGTCCCTGACCGATATTCTCGTTATTTTATTGTCCGGTTATCCCCCAAATTATATTTTCTATCACAATCTTTGAATGCAATGTCTTTGCTATTTATTGAGTACCGTATTTCCGACTATTAGGCCAATTTTCAAGATTTCAATGTTTCAATCCGGCTTCTTGGGGTCGGAATATTTGGGTGGATTAGCTTTCGACCAAAAGATAACAAAATAAAAATCGGTCTGGGCGGTGCCTGAAAATACAGTAATGGAAATGCATAACTCGTACTTTAATGTAACTAATTTCACAAGCCTTCTGTAGACTTTAAATTTCCAATTGAATTGACTTCTTAGGCGCTCCTTTACAAAATTCTTTTTTTCTCGAGCAAACGACACCTCCCGAAGTTCATCAAATAATCTTGAACCTGAAAAAAGGCAAAGCAGTTGGTCCAGATGGTATTCCAACCTATTTTCTCAAAATAATCGCTGATATTGTATCTCCAGCTTTAAGTCATTTCTTTAATTTATCATTTAGTTTAGGCATTTTCCCTTCCTCAATAAAAATAGCTAGGGTAATTCCAATTTTCAAAAATGGCAACAAAAATAACCCGTCCAATTATCGGCCAATTTCCATCCTGCCCACCATAGGCATTGTTCTAGAAAAAATAATAAAGAAAGAATGCTGAATTATTGCTCTAAATTTAATCTTATCAACAAATGTCAATTTGGATTCCAAACGAGTCATTCTACCAGCCATGCTATTGTAGACCTAACCTCCAATATTTACGATAAAATTGATAAAGGTGAGCTTGTCTGTTGTACCTCTTAGATCTAAAGAAAGCGTTTGACACCGTTGACCACAACATCCTTATCCAAAAGCTAAAGCATTACGGTTTTCGAGGTACAGCCGGTAATCAATTATGTGATTACCTGCTTGGTAGATATCAATTTGTGGAGGTGGATTCTCATAAGTCTCCAATGTTGCCCATTCACTGTGGAGTTGTTCAAGGTTCTGTGTTGGGTGCTCTTGAATTTTTATTATACATAGATGATTTATCGAACTCATCAAATCTTTTAAGCAAATTGTTCGCTGACGATGCTTGCCTTCTCAATAGCGCGAAGAATTTGATAACTCTTCAAACCAACACAAACACTGAAATAAATAAAATACACAATTGGATGACATGCAACAAACTCACAATTAACATTGACAAATCTAAAGTAATGCTATTTAACTCGAAAGCTCGTTCTGGAAATGTAAATCTTACAATCAAAATTAAGGGTATATCTTTAGAAGTTGTCAGCTCATATAAATATCTTGGACTCTTTATTGACAATCAACTAAAATGGAATACTCATATCACTGAAATACATAAAAAATTATCACGATCAACCGGGATTCTGGGTGAACTGAGATATTATGTTCAAGACTCGACCTGCGGACCGTATACTTTTCTCTCTTCCAGTCCCACATTCAATACGCCATAGCTGCATGGGGCTCTGCAGCCCCTACAAATTTGCACAAATTGGAATTGTTGATTGATTCCTCTAGAATCCTCTCTAGAGCACCTGTTCGTTTTAATTTAAATAAGATATATCTCAAAACTAATGTGCTTAAATTGTCTGACATCCACAAGCTTGAGGTTTCTAAAATCATGCATCAGTTCCAAAACAATCGATTACCGGCAGCCTTTTTTACGGTTAGGTCTGTGCACGAACATCACACTCGCTCTTCCGCAAGGTCAAATTTTTTTGTACCCCGCTTCCTCTCAAGTAAATCCCAAAACTCCTTGAAATACAAAGGAGTAGTAACTTGGAATAGCATTCCCCAAACCCTGCGTGATACAACATACAATATGTTCAAAGCTAAATACAAAAAACTCTTGATCTCCACTTACCAATCCGGTGCCGCCACATCTTCCAGTTGATATCATGTCTGAGTCTTGTTTTCTTGCTACTGTCAGCTCAACATTTGACCACATTTCAAGCTGTTGGGTCTTTAATACTTGGAATGATAATTATTCGTATCTTCTTTTTGTGATTTGCTCAAATTCCATTCAATATCTTCCCTATCTGGGACCAGTGGCAGGTACTTGGATATAACAGTATCTTAAGCGTATCACCCGAATCTTACTGTGTGCAGTAAGCTCATTTATGCCACGCAATCAATCAATTCTCGGTCTTAAAGGCACCTTAGTTCTACATGGAGCTGGGCCAATAACTAAGACTTCAGTCTCCAACATTTTAGTCCAACACAACTCTATGATAATAAATGTTATATTTTTCTTATATTTTTTTGCAACTATTGTCATTATGAATTGTATCACCTCTACACTAGTAGTCTACTTACCAATTGTTGTTACACATTTCAATCTTCTGCTCATTGTGGACATGTAATTTGCTACAGTTTCATGTCCTACATAAATTAGATATAAAAAATACTGTAGTATTTATTGTTACCTGTTATTTATTGTCCAATCCATTGAATAGAATCTTTAATTTTCCTACTGCAATACCGACATCCTTCCGGCTATCAGGTTTGACGTCAACTGTACACTCGCCCGCAGCCAGTGCTTCATCTGAGCAGTTGCCGTGGCTACCTTGATGGTGCTTGGAAACTATTTTTATATTAACGAGAGACTCTGGATTTCCTGAAAATCCGCTGGATACTTGAACGTTTCCAATATACAATTTTATTTAGTGTGATTATTTTGCTTTTTCATTCATATTCATTTTAAGCTTTCTATTTCATGTTATTTCGTCATGCTGTGTTAGACCCCATCTAGGGTGTCGCTGCTTGATAACCAGTACTGGTTTTCAGCGTTTCCCTCCACCCTGAAAAGCTATTCTTCTTTTATATTATTCTGTATATGTACCTTGCGTATTTTCAAATGGTGGAAAAAATAAATTACTGATACTTATACATCAGGAGATGAACGCGTGGGTCCTTACAGTTGCAAAATTTACGCGCAACGCTTAGAATTGAAAAAAAAATAAGGAACATATGCAGCTATAAAGATTTCCTATCGCGACCGCTAAATTTCTCTTCAAATAATAATTCGATAAAACTCGACTTTAATGGCAATGCTTCCAAACCAGAAAGAATTCCGCCAAAAGAATTTGGCCGTTTTAAGGGTGCAATTTTGCTTTTTTACATTGTAACTCGTGAATACTTCGAATTGAGTTTTTATATTAAACTGTAAACTTTATATTAAAAAAAAAACGGGAATGCAACTTGCTCATTACATCGGCAAAGTCAAAGTGGTTTATTGAAAATTGGATGAATAAAGAAGTTTTACATATAGAGAGGGAGAGGGGAGCTTAGAGGTAAATATTCAATAAAAAGATAGAACCACAGACTTATAGTCAAACTAAAATGCGTGTTGTCAACAGATAAGATGGCGTAATGGTAAAAGTGTTCTGAAGTGGGAGATCTTAGTTTGATTCTAGGATTGGTCCAGAACAGACATGGGCTAAATACGGCCCGCGGGCAAAATCCGGCCCGTTAAGTAATTCAATCTGGCCCGCCTGATGCTGCCATAACCAAACTGGAAACAAATTTTAATGTTTTAGCTGAAAATAACTCATGGAATTCGTTTCGATAGCGGTTAAATTTAGTTTTGGCACGAGGTTTATTGTTTTCCACTGTTGATTTTGTAACACTGCAAATATTGTTCATAATATGTAACTCTTTACGTCATAAGAATAGATTTTAGTCAAAAGAATAGATTTGAGTCAAAAAGTCGAACATGAAATTATTTGGCTCTGCGACCCTCTGAAAAGTGCTTCGCGGCCCCCAGGTTGGGAACCACGGATCTAAGAACAAATAACTGGCTAAATAATCCAACACCCCACATGCGCTGACCGGGCGAGAGACCGTGGTTCGCCATATGATCAACTCAAGCCGTCTTATCGACTTTTCTCTCCCTCGAGATGAATATTAAAATTCTATCATATGATTATGTCATTTTATCAGCTTTCCTCTCCCACTGGGATAACAATAAAGACCCTATCCTGTACACGTACAGTAACAACAACAGTAAGTTAGCAGAGGGACATTTGTGTCCAATTTCTGACTCAACACAGCCCCGATCTCTACGAACAACAGATATATTTCCAGTGTTTTATTTCTCTTAAAGATAAATATAACTCACTAAGTTAATACGTCATAGCACGGGTGACGTCAGGGTACAAACAAAAGTACACAAAAAATGAAAAATATGATGAAGGTTGTCAATGAGTGCCCACATGTTCGTGCGAATAAAATAGAAATCAACAAAAAGTTCTGCAACAAAAATATTTTTACCCAAACCAGATGAAATGTGAAGTTTAAGATGAGAAGTCGGCTGCTCAATTGACTTGCATCTTGGTACATTTCACTAATTTCGCCTCTTATTCCTACAGAGGAATCATGACATACTTTTAGAATAATTCACGTTTGTTTACAGGGCCAGCCTTAACTATTTCCTGTATGCACAGAATAAACATTTTGATCAAATATGATAAAATTAGTAATTTACGCCAAGAAACGAATAACGCTTTTTTCACTTATTAACTAATCACGAAATCACAATCAAAGTAGCATTACGGTCACAGGATAAACACGTTAATACATGATTATAAATTACGGTCGTTGAATTTGATCATACCCAGAATTGGCGTGGAACCTATGAAAGTGCGGGCTTGTGTAGGGTTGAGTTTTGTGAGCACGCAATGGTATCCGGTTAGCAATGGTATCCGGAAAGCATGGAAATAATTTCGAGGTTTTCAACACAAAACGGGCGAAAGTTAAAATATTGTTTTGAGAGAATGAAAGTCAGTTATTGAATTTTTAGATCCCCAAACTTTGCATCGAAATACCTCAACAAACACATTTTTTCTGTGATATTTTCAAATGATAATTTTTTCAAAATTCAAATTTTAAACGTAAACGAAATGACAATGTACAGTAAGCGCAATGTGCTGGTATGCTAAAGGCGGTTGAAATGAAAAAGAACTACACTCAGGCGAAAGATTTTTCTCGGTGACGTCATTCCTATGATGACACCATTAATTAAAAAAGTTTAATAGACATTCGGCTTGTGGTTACGTCATCGATGGCGTAATTAGTTGACTTCTATTGCATCGGCACACCCAGCGCAGAAAGTGTCGTCCTCCAGCATAACGAAGCCTTGCCCTTCCAAAGCTGTTGAGCAAGTGCGGCAAGTGAAGCAGTCGACGTGCCAACCCAGATCTTCAAACGAAATCATCTTTCCGCCTCCCAGACCTGGAATGTATTGTTAGGTTGAAGTTGGTAAAAATACAAAAGATTATAGGTTGAGGCTTATTCACACATTTTTGTTATTTATAGATTAGTTAAACTTTGATTGTAGCAGCAATGAATGATAATCCTGTACTAAGCTACTAAATGGTAATTTATTTTTAAATATGGAAATGAAAGAGTCTAATTTTGCATGAATCCTTTATTTTTTTTGTAGTTTTTCCCTTGCATGAGAAAGTTAATGACCCACAAAATATTTTGTGCACCGGAAGTGGGCCACGAGAAAAAAAGGTTGAGAACCACTGCCTTCGAACGATGCCCCGTACAGTTAGTTACTTATATCTGTCGATATGTAAGGGAGCTACCATTTTTTAAATGACCGGATTCTTTCGGCTTCTGCATTACCCAACAAATATATTACGCCATGGGTAAGGTGGGGATAATGGAAAATAACCTAAGGTGTGTAACCTGCGATGCCGACTTCATTAGCTCTTTGCCCTCTAGACGAATCTATCAGTTGCAATTTTAACACCATGGGAACACTTTTTTAATGCGCGTGTTTTGCTGAGTGGGAATTTCGTCAATTTTTTCTCCATCAAATTTTCTACCGACCCAGGGAAATTCGGAATTTTGATCGGGGGTGTTTTTATCCAATCACATGTTTGCATTAGTGGCGGTGGCTTTCTATAAACAGACATCTTCATTGAAAATTTGAAATTCCGAATCCGGGTTTTTCAGAATTTCGACTCCGACTCCACATCACCGGGCAATACGATGAAAGTCAATGATCATGGATGGATGTTCTTTCTTTCGTGGGGTTTAGTTTTTGAAAAATAAAGTGAAATCAATACTCAACATCGGGATTTTCTATCACTAGTGCCAAACCCGAAAGATTCCGGTACTTGCAATAAAATAGTAACTAGCTCGCTATATACATTTTAGTTCATAAGGAACTGAAATGCATGCGTCGCATAATGGTTGAACCATTCTGATTTTAATTGAATGACGTCACATTATCAAATAAAATCCGACGCATCTTTTCCCGGGAGAAAACGGCGAACTCGATAAAGTCAAATTATTTTTCAAATGGACAAACCTAAAGTCTATTCACATTGGTTGGTCATGTTCGCGCTCGATTTCAAAACAATTGTTTGGGTAATTGAAGAGAAAGCGACCCCTACCACAAAGTGAGTTTAACGATATCGGTGTTTTACCAGATTTTAGTTGTCTCTTGTAAAGCAACTGTTGCGCATAACATTTTGGGAGTGAAAAGCGTGGGAAATGTCGTATAAAAATACACGATATCGCCCATAAAGTCATCACGGAGTAAGAGTTGACTTTTCCACTTCATTAGCATCAATAAAAAGAAATTCCCCAGTTTTGATCGTGGACTCATCATTGCGAGAAAAATAACTTTTCTCTTCAATTTCAAAACCAAACTGGAAAGCCCTATGGTCGAAGGCAGAAGCGTTTTCTAAGTTTATACTAAGCAAGTTTGGTATTCCGTCACGTTACGAGTTTACTTCTACTTAGCGCAAGTCAATACCCAAGGGACCTTTCTATTTTAATATCATTCGCCGGCATTATTTGGGAGCGGTCGATAATTGAGGCCAAATATCCATCCCTATTGCTAGCTAATGCGGCGCGTATTCCCAGGAGACAGGGAGTGACATAAGCATAGGAATTCAATTAAAACCTTTCATAATACTTCAACATTTGCCAGCTCTGCTGATAAACTGTGACCTCGTTCTCAACAGCGATCAGAAGTGGTTCCGTCATTCCCTCATATATTTGCATATCACACAGCAGTATCGTGACCGGTCTTACCTATGGGCTATAACCCTGATGAGAAGGGATTGCGAAGACACACTATGTAGATGACTAATTGAGAACCCCCTTTTTCAAAGGATGAAGGGGGGGGGGGTAAGACCGTATCAACTAGCGGGCCCAGTTATTTATTATGTATGGTGCAGAAAATGCATTTTTTAACAGTTCAAAGAAGGTCTAACCCAACCCTTCGTTTTTTTATGTGTGTGGGGGAGGGGGGTCACCCTGTCATAGCTGCTTCTACAGGGCGTTGTCCAAAGCAAAATACAGAAATAGGCCAGGGTGAAAAATACATTCATTTGCTTCGAGCAAGCTTGTATGAAATAGTTAGTAAACGAACCTGTGATCGGCTTCTGGCATTTGTAGCATTTCTTCGAAAATTTGTCGACGTGACATTTCAAGCAGAACGGTTGGTCGTCATGTGACGTAAACTTCTCGTTGGCAAGGCATACGTCACATCCGGCACAGATGAAGCATTTACCGTGGTAAGCGTCATCTCGGTACGTCACGCCACTGGTTTTGATTGGCTGAGAAAAGGGAAGTAAGTTCATGATAACAGAATAGATATATATCGAATATGGTTGATATGTATAGGCTGACGCAAAAACAACGGATCACATGAATTCTCTCAACTACTTTTACGAAAATGAAGAAAATTTGTTTAACACTTGAACTTGTTTATGGTTCTACGCAAAATGATAGGAAATCTAGAACTTTTCGCAAAAAAATGTATGTTTCCTCGAAAATAATTTCTGATTTGGTTCTGTTTTTGGTTCTCTGTTGTGACTATTAACCTTGGTTACAGAGTTATCGAAGATATATAATTGACTTCGAATCCGAGGTGAAAAAATCTGACTAACATATTACAACTTCCCAATTGAGAAAAAATAATTGAATCCGATTCCAGCTTCCTACTACGAGAAATGAAATTTTGATCAAAACTTAAAGCATCTTTCAATGAATTTTTAAGAATGACCTGTCAACTCACTGACAGTGAGTCGAGTCACTACGAGTCGAGTCAATCACCAAGCTAGGTCTAACTGGCGATGTTAATAATAAGTCTAGGGTAATTTGATTTAGGGTGTCGAATCTTTGATAAATGGTGACTTGATTCAGAGTCGAGTCAAGTCAGTGACTCGTATCTCTCCAACATAACGCTTCATACATAACTTGGATCCGAGTCGAGTCAATGGTCATTCGAAATCAAGTCAACTATCGGATCAGGTCTCACTGGCACGATTTCGAGTCATTTCTAATATATAACTCGACACACATCGAGCCGTTGATAAATAGTTACTGTAGGGCAGGACAATTACTTTTCTCGCTGGGCCAGTTACAGATAATAAACTTGGTTGCTGGACAGAAGGCTCGGCTCAATATGAAAAACTACGATGAAAAAAAAACGAGAATATTGGTCGGAGACCGAAGACTTATCGGTCGAAAGTTAGGGATCCTCCAAAACAGAAACTGCGGTTTCGATTCACCCGCTCTTACTCCAAAGTGACACCGTGTGTCCGATCACTAATTAATCAACAACTCGTTAATTATACGACATAATTCATCCAAAATCAATAGGCTTCTGATCCGAGATAAATTGAAGCAGATTCGACCTAGCTTTCGTGAGATATCGCGTGTATCTAACAGACAGACAAACAAACGAACAAGCAAACAGACAAATACCTATCAACATAATTACCGATCTTAAGATCGATAAGTAAAAAATTACTAACAACAGCTAGTCTAACAGCCAGGCTAACGTTTGTTAAATAATAAGAAGCACAATGCAACATTCAGGGTCATTATGACGTTATTTTCATCGGTATTTTTATCGGTGGGCCAGATGAAACACTTCGTTTTGGCCGGATCTGCTCATCCCTGCTCTAGGCAGCTTGAGTTGAGTCAGTGACTCAGACCTCCCAACATAACGCTACCTCTAGGGTCACTGATCATTCGAAGTCGACTCAACTACTGAATGAGATGTGTTTTCACGGCCTAACTCGTTCTCACCTTGGAACATTTAACACACTTGCTCGCTATGTTCGACTCGAAGCAATTCTCGCAATGAACCCCTCCATCTCTCTTCACGAAACTCTTGGTTCCAATGCTTCTTCCACAGGTCGCGCATCTGAAACAGGCTTCGTGGTATTGCAGCCCGCCATACTCCATGCGACGAGTGCCTGCGGAATTAAAATGTTAGTTTTTAGTGCTGATATCAGTGATTGTAAAACTTCGTTTCCTTGAGAACCAATTTATAAACCCAGAGTGTAACAAATCGGATAGCATAGACAATGAAGACACAAAAAAATTCCATTTTTTTTTTGCAAAACCTAAGGTTTCTACGCCTTAGTTGCTTTTTGTGCAGAGTGTTGTTCGGAATGGAATATTCAACTTCTGTAATAGTTTGTCGGTCTTTTCAAGAAACGCTATGAATGGCTGTATATATCAGTTTATTTAGATCTGTGGTCGAGGCATGCAATGGGCATTACATAGAAAAGAAACCGAGGCTAATAACTCCAAGGTCTGGAAATTACATGAGACATTGGGTTCTTGAAATAATATTGGAATGAACTGATCGGAGCAATATTTAATTATCTAGTGACGCATTCAACGTGAAACAAAGCTCTCTGAGCTCGGCCCGAGAGTTAAATTTAAAAGGTTGCGAATGTTTCAAGAGGGTCCCTTGGTGCATTACGACCTGATTATATCTGCATTTAAGCTCGGTTCCCGGGGCAAAACCGAGAGGCATTGATCGCAAATGGTTACGATGCTATAAAGTATTCCATGCTGCTTTAAAAAAATTCAACGGGGAAGCCATTTGTTCTCCCAGGATTGAAAAGGGTCTGATTCTTCTGGTGACACGATATGTTGTCACAAATCCTCAATCTATTCGAGGGTTTCAAAACAAAGAGTGAATTTTCGGATAATTGTTATTTGAAATAATCATAAAGGAGCATGCAATTTTCAGCATAGCATGTCGAGTAAAAGTTTCAAAAACATGCACTTTTCACATTTTTTTCAAAATAACTTTTTAAGTTTTGCCTTTTCGAGGTAAAGCCTCGTATTAGAGATTAGTAACGCATATTCGCATTTTCGCGTTTTCGCGTTTTGCGTGATGCCAAAAAGAGGGGATTAACGCCTGAACCAATGTTTGGAAAATCAACCTAACAATCTGATAAATAAACACGTCATTTACGCTTCACTGTATCGTTGATAAGAAAAACATTTTTATGACACTCGAAATTTTTATTAAAGGTTTTATAAATATGATTTTTAAACAGTTTTGAAAAGTGTTGGATTACCCGAAATGCTCTTCAAAATCCTTATTTTTAGATGAGAATAGGAAATGATTTTTAAATTTATCCCAGGGATGAGAAAAGGATAAGACGACTCAAACATTTGGTAAACCACGTCCTCACCTGCTTTGAATTTCTTTCCGCACTCGTGACACTTCGGCGCAAACTTGTCATCATAGCAGGACACGCAGACGAACTTCCCGTCTCTGTTAGTAAAGCTGGTATCGGCCAATGGGTTGTCGCACACGGAACAGGTAAAGCAGAGCTCATGGTAGTGCTGGTCTTTGTAGGTTACATCCTGTCAAATTGAATGAATAGTGTTTTTATGCGGAGTGGAATTTTGCTTTGTTGGGGGAAATATTACTTTGTATTGGGTGTGGCGCAGCTTGTGTTTTGTATATTTATTGTATTTTGTCATTTTTTAATATTACTAAATATAAATAATATTTGGAACTGTCCAAAATCTAGGGTGGGGTGGATTTGCAGACATTAATAAAACATTGTTAAAAATTTCAAAAAAGATCCACGAAAACTCAAAACAGCATCAATATGAATGACAATGCATTCCTAACAATTTATAAACAAGGTTTTAATACACAAACCAGAATTAAATAAAAAATTGGTTTTAGATTTTTGAAAAATTTTTCTTAGCCCGAAATCGCAAGTCAGAGTCCATTCCAGTTCTGAAGTTCCGATTAAAATGTCGATCTTTCCGAATCCACAGCCTAGCTAAGATCATATTCACGTGCCCACTCACCAGTATTCTCCCCAGCTTTTCATTCGGGTGGGGGGGGGGGGGGGGTATAATCTTAGGGGGTGACAGACATTTTGCTATTAGTGAAAAAACTATTTACAACTTATAAAAATGTGTTATCTATTTGACTGACCCCTTCATGAATATTTAAATTAGCAATTAAACTGTAGTATCACACTCTTAAAATCAGGGAGGGCGAGGGGTTGAAATTTTAGGGGGTGGAGGAGAAGGAAAATCAATGCTACTCACCCTGCAGTCTGTTCCAATGACCTTTCCACAGGTGTTGCAAGGATTGCAGTAGTACGATTCAAAACAGTTGACGCAGTACTTGTTGGAATCCTAAAAATGAAATATTATTAGCCACGGTTATGGAAACACTTTTTTTTTATTAAAAGAAATATAAAGCAGTAGAGAGTCAAAAATCAGAATTCTGCGGAAACTCAAAAACATTGAGTGTACTGAGTGATCATTAAAATCTATAAGACGACAAAAAAAGAAGCGTAACCCAGGTCATCTGAAATTTATTCTGTGGGTTCCGTTTTGGGGTCATGTCGTATTAAAGAAGACTAGCACACGTCCAAATTTTTGTCTTGATAATCCTTTGATTTGATTTTCTCAGAGTAGAATGCCAAAATCTAAATTTTTGAACTTGGAATCGTGAGTCAATCATGAATGTTCAGGCTTGTTCCTTGAAATGCGGAATCGTCCCATGGGATGGGAAAGCGCACGTTTGTATTTCTCATGGCAGACATGATTACGTCAGTGGGGACTTTAAATCTTCAACCATATTCCTTTTTCGTATTCTTGTATCTGATATTTATTTTGTGAATGGGACTGACATAAATCGCTTTAGATGGGACAGAAAAACACTGCACTAATGGAACCGTATAATGCAATGATGCTGTAGCAATAGTGATCGTAGCAATTCAGAGTAATTCAAGAGTCTTGCTGCACATTAACATAAACATCTTTCTATTGAATAACTCAGAACGCAACCAAATTTCACTTTGATCCCAGATTCACGGTCTGTTGCATTCGCGCGTTTCTAATCTCCGAACTAACCGCTGTTAATGCGTGTTATCGTTGCAAGCCATTAATTAAAAGATGGATCGGCGCGTTTAACTCAAGTTTGTGATAAGTTGTGACCTAGTTGTTAACGCGTTAGAGCACGGGTGGGCACGGTTTATGAACCAGGAGTCGAAAAATTTGCCCACCCAGCCTGGCGGGCCATGTAATTGTGATGTAAAAATACATTTTATGAACATGCACTAAATATAACAGCAATCTCGAAAAATTCCTTGAGCTATGTTTAGCTAAAACATACAAATTTGGTTTCAGTTTGGTTGCGGCAGCATCAGGCGGGCCAGATTGAATTACCTAACGGGCCGGATTTGACCCGCGGGTCGTAGTTTGCCCATGTCCGCGTCAGTGTTAGTGTTAGACCTGGCATCGCGGTTTAAAATCTAGGTTTCGATTCCGAGTAGGAAACAGAAAGTTTGAGAAAGCTGCAGTGACCCAAGGTTTGTTATGTATGCAACGCTAACGAATCATACGAGAATACAGAATTACTACAAGATTTTGTTAAGTTTTACAAACTTTTTCTATTCTTCAGATTTTAAGCGTATTTGTTCCGAACTCGCGTTACAATAGGGAAACGATGACGTCATTAAGCGGTATCAATTACCACAAATTTGTCTGGTGTGACGTCACTCCATCGACGCTCTCACGATCAGAATCTGTTTACCAAAAAATTTCAGACGCAAATGGAAAAAACTCGTAAAATATATTGAACAAAAATATTCAGTTGAAAGACTGTTTGAGACTGTGACAAAGTTTGAATGGATATTATTTGTTAACTTATCAGAGGCCATAGGTAATTGTTAATTCTGATATGCTGTTATCATGATCGGCCACAGATAACTGCCCTGAGCGGTATTTCAGCTTGTAATACTCGAGGATTAACAATGGGTGCTTGGCGTGCCGTGGTCAAGTTGAGTGTTTCAGGTACGATTTTAGGAAATGCGGAAATTTACCTGTTTTCCACGGTTAAATCGTTAATTGACAAAACTGTCTTTTAGGTTAAATATTTAGTTGATAAAATTTGATTATCTTATATGTTTGCCGATACTTAACGCTGTGTTATTACGAATTACACCCGAATCACAGTACATTTTACGCATTATTTACAGTGAAGCAGATGTTGTAAAACTTTTCAAACTCGTGGTCCTTCTGCTATTTTAGAATATAAATCCTTACAAAAGGAAATTTGACTTTATCAACATAAAATTATGATAAGGGATAGTTTTACAACATACGCATATTTACTAGCAGCCAGTCAGTCGTACTTATCTCCTCCCACGATAATTTTAACGTATTTGATCATTTTATTTTTCAAACATCAAAATTGCCAAAATATCTAAAAACAAAATTAATTTCGAAACAAAATCCGAGAAAGTTTCTCCCGCAAAACTTTGGTTATATCAGGATTATGACATTATAATGCGGGCGAAAAATAGATTGTTGCGTGATAAGAGAAAGCATTGTTGTCATACAATACAGCCTTTTACTCGTATAATATTAAAGAAAAAGCCAGTGTCAGTTGCGAGAAATCGACCAGCCAAACCGCGCCATTAAACGGTGTTATGATGTATTTCGGATTATGACATCAGTCCCGTAATATGATACCCCTCTTTTTTTTTTCAATAAAATACCCCCCTACCCCCATTATCCCGTCCCGTCTAGGTTGAAATAAACTAGAAAATAGGAGAATTCAACGTGCTTTTTTTAAGAATTAATTCTTACTCATTACTATCTTGTCGAGATTTAAATAAAAAGGAGTATGAAATACATCTGGATCCAACGTACATTTTTTTGCTGTAAACGCCAGACATTCGCCATGAATAATTTAAGAACAATTCCAAGAATCGCGGTGAGAATATACATTGCACAACGGGTGTCAGCAAAACGATGGAATTTCGGATTTTAATTTGGAAAAATTTATCCATGGCATGTTATCGTAAATATTCTCACTGGCGTTGATATATACATGGAAAGATGATTATTAGCATTGAGACATTGCATCTCAATAATACCTAGCGATATAAATCAAACATATCAATTTTTTATCCTAATTTAACAAACGACCCCACTATTTCGGTATTTTTTTTGGGGGGGGGGGATTCATCGGATTCGAGTCAAGATTTAATTTTAAATGGAATGACTCGTTTTTAACTGATAGCCAGTGAAGCTTGTTCCAGTGATTGACTCGATCTCGGATTCAGGCGGCCCGTGTTGCGACTTCGCTTCCTAAAAACGTCGATAATACGAAGCAGTGCAATTCCGTTGTTGATTCAATCACCTAACTCTTGAGATTAATGACGATTTTGCTGTTGTTGGAGTCGTATCCGATTTGTTATTTCAAACTATCCGGGATTTAAATTCTGATTCAAAAATTTTGTTCTCACGAGGCGGAGTCGTTTTAAGGACAAATCTACAAACATGATGAAATATAGATTCGATTTGTGAAACATCGCAATTCACTCTGTCGACTAGACGATACCCAGACAGATGAATAATTCATACCAGTATTTATCAACCTTTATCGATATATTTTTCTCATCGCCTTATTTGGATATCTGTATTACCGTCACTATTAATAAAAACCTTGTTTCCATAATCCAGGGGTTCCGTAACCTCATTGGCCGCGGTCCAAAATTAGAATCGGAAGGATGTCCGTAGACCAGAAGAGTGTAGCGCCCGAAAATGCGCGACTCTTTAGCTAGGGTTCAGTGGATTCACGTTTGACATTTTGTTTGACTCATACTGGCGTTTAATGTCGTATTCCTTCAGTACTGAAATAGTTTGTTGGCAAAAAAAGACAAATCACTGAAGTTTGATTCTGATTTTTACATCTCTAAGCTTTCTTATGTGAGTAATAATTAAATTACTGCCCTATGTTATCCTAATGCCGGTACGTATAATTGAGAGACTGGTATAATTGAATTGTTGTGATAAACACGTCCTTTAACTATGATAATGACATAACAATTGCCAGTATCTAGATTGCATATATGTAGAAACAAAATCTGTTGAACAATATTTCACTCAAGCTCGGAGGGCCATTTTAAATCGTTACGAAGGCCGGATTTTGCCCGCGTGCCGCGGTTTGGAAACCCCTACCGTAATCCAATGCATCGTCGGCTAGGGATACGCGCAAGTAGCACTCTGGATTTTGCACTGTTTGAATAGTTTATGATGTGCTAACAAATACGCATTTCAATCAGTGTTTCCCAAAACCGAAATTAGGAGCGGAAGGATATTCGCGAACCAGTAGAGGGGATCGCCCATAGGGGGCCGATATCGATACCGGCATAATTCAATGTTACGAATATAAACATGATTTACTGTGATAATGACGTAACAATTGGCGATATCTGAAATTCAGAAAGAAAAACGTAAAGTATTATTTTAGTTCACCTTCGTTCGCAATAGTTCGGCAGGCCATATTGAATCGTTACGAGGGACGTAATTGGCCCGCGGGCAGCGGTTTAGGGACCAACTGTACTGAATAAATATACAATATTGGCAAAAATACACCGAATTTTTGTAATTCCTCCACGAAACGTAATTCCTCCAAGTAATTCCTCCCTGGGGGGAATCCCGCCCCGATTAAGAAATGTAGATTTGAACATTCATTATTTGGCACCGGTAACTCGTGATTGAATTCTCAGCTACTCGGTGTCTCGTTTGCATCGCCAAGTATTTCCAATTATCATTGGAATGCTCTGGTTGATTGACGTTTCCTCAACAAATGGTAACCGAGACTCACAACCTTGATGAACTCTGACAGCTTAAGGTCTCAAACCAACGGGTATTTACTGGCGAGCAATGCACCAGCATAATTATATTTTATATAGGTCAAGTAGATTTTGGTATTATTGGGGTCTTTTTTAACTATGTTCAAAGATGAGTCTTTTTTACTCCTCAGTGAGTGTATGTAACTTTACTCAGATGTAATTCCCTTTTATTTTTGAGTGAGGGCCCGTAATTTGACTATCAGACTTGAGTCTCTTTTTCTTCTGAATGAGTGCTCGTAACTTTGCTCAGAGATGAGTCTATTTTATTTCTGAGTGAGTGCCTGTGACTTGACTCAGAGATGAGTCTTCCTCATTTCTGAGTGAGTGTCCGTAATTTTGCTTAGAGATGAGTCTATTTTATTTCTGAGTGAGTGCCTGTGACTTGACTCAGAGATGAGTCTTCTTCATTTCTGAGTGAGTGTCCGTAATTTTGCTCTCAGCGACGAGTCGCCCTTTCTTTTTAGAGAGAGGCCATAACTTTTCTCAGATAAGAGTCAATTTTATGTCTGAGTGAGTGTACGTAACTCAGAGATGAGTCTCTTCTATCATCTGATGAGTGCCAGTAACTTTGCTCAAAGATCAGGTGGAGAGCTTTATATGATCTCTCCCATAATGTTATGGAACAACAGTTTTAAAAGAAATATCTTAAACACATGGAGGCGCAGGTTAAATTTACCTTTTATTTTTACAAAACTACAAATGAGAAATGATAACCTCAGCGTACACTATCTAAATATAACTTTCTTAATAGCATGCAAGCATTGAAGCATAGCCCGCTAATGCGACTTAGTAAAGTCTGGGATTTATCAAACACAGCGAGCATCGTCTACGCCGTTCACTTTTTATATATAAAAGCATTTGCTCAAACCAAGGTCACGCGCACTCACTCAGAGACAAAAAGGATTTACCTCTGAGAAAAGTTAAGCGCACTCATTCCAGTAAAAGGAGACTCATCTCTGAACAAAGTTACAGGCACTCACTAGAGTAAAGGAGAATCATTTCTGAGCAAAGTTAGAGGCACTCACTCATCAGTAAAGTAGACTTAGTAAAGTCTGAAAATTTTCAAATGAAGCGTTATTTAAATGTCTACGCCGTTCACTTTAAATATATAAAAGAATATTTGGTCAAAGTAAGGTCAAACGCACTCACTCAGAGACAAAATGGATTCACCCACGAGCAAAGTTAAGCAAACTCATCCTAAAGTAAAATAGACTCATCTTTGAGCACAAAGTTACGCACTCCTTCAGAAGTAAAGTAGACTCATCTCTGGAAAAAGTTACACAATGCCACTAAACTACCAAGGTATTTTGTATAAACACGTTTAACGATATTCTCGGAGAGAAGTAAATAACCTCCATGTTATGTAAAAATGATTGATTTGTATTTATAACTTACTTTTGTGATCCTAAAGAACTACATGACGTTTAGTATTTGGGCATAATTTAACAACATTTCACAATTTTCAGGTTTTTTTTCACAATTTAATAACAATTCTGAAGCTGTCACAACCGAATTAATTCAAATTTCAATGTTTTAGCTAAAAAATATCTCAAGGAATTTGTTGAAATTGCGAATAAATTGGGTTTTGGCACGAGGCTTATTGTTTTCCACTTTTGCTTTCGTAACACTGTAAATATTGTCCATAAAATGTAATTTTTACTCCATACTTACATGGCCCGCCAGTCTAGATGGACAAAATTTTTGGCTCTCGGTCCGAAAACCTTGCCCACCTCTGGACTAAATTATACTGCTTTTCTTCATTCGTGCATGCTTTATAGTATTGTATAGGCAACATAACATCTCACTTTTAGCGGTGACCATAGCTGTACCCAGATATGAGTCCCCTTCACTCCAAAGTGGCAGCAATTCCTCGCTATTAAATGTATTCGCAATGTCCGTAAGGAGATGATGACGTTAACTACCCGAAATTAGCTGTTTCACAGTCAAACATCCTTGGGCCGATGATAATTAGGTCGAAAATATTGTTTCAGTTTTATGCCGAGCTTGATTAAATAGCGAGATTGTAGATTATGATATAACAATAGCCTGAAGGCGAGAACCATTGTTCATCGTCACCGCATCAAATTACATTGTCATCGACCGGTAGCGCAGGCTCTCGGAAGCCTGCGCTTACTCAAATTATTGGAATAAGGGTTAGAAACCCCTAGGTTATTTGTGTTCCCTTATCACCGTAATAAACAAGTTATGAAGCCAACTGGAAGAACAAACTAAAACGTCAAACAAGCAATGCAATTCACAAACTCCCTGTTTCGCGAGTCTGAAAATCTCAAATTTCCGAATGTCACAACACCCGAAGTATGAGCAATAACTCACCTGCAGAAGGTACTGTTTTCCCGCCAAAGAGACTTCACATCCGAAGCATTGAGGCCCACGAGAGCTCATGATGACGTAAGCACTGACGTCACACTCGCCACAAAACACTTTATTCTAACTAAGTAATTAAATCTGTGAAAAAACGAAAAACAAATTAAACTCACACCAGAATAATCTTAATATGACGTGCTACCCTCAACTCAGAAAAAAGTTACTTAAATAAGGTATTCAAGGGGCCACTGACTTAATATATGTTGCACAACTCTATCTTAAGTTGGGCAAATTACATGTGGTGGGAGTCAGGCCAACCCCGTTCTTGTTTTGGGCCATGGACGACCGCAGTGAATATTTATCGTGTGGATACCTAGCGTTATATAGGGTGTCCATTAGGACTTCAAATTTTTTTTTTAATTGCAAAAGAAATTTATCGATACCATATATTATTTTGGCCCTCATAGATGAAATAAATCAAGTAAAAATATTCAAACAATTACTGATTGAAAACACCAACAATCTGGTCAACAAAAATTGAGAACTGACTTTATTACAAAATTGAAATTGTGAAGGGACTTATGGACACTCTGTTTTGAGTATCGAATAGTATGTATGTGAAGTGCTCCATGTTGATACAGCTTACGTGGTGACATAGAATATATTTCCTGAAATGACATAACTCGTTCTTGCAGTTTTGAATCACTGTACGTAACCCGTCCTTGGGATAATGTTTACTTATCATACAAATGTTGTTCAGTTTTTAGACCGCTCTAAATTATAGGTATACTTGTTAGGGATGCATGTCTTAGGCCAGTAATGTCTACAACATGTACCGGTTTACCGTTTAATTATTATGCAGATACTGTTACATTTTTGCGGCAAAAAAAACATAAATACACACACAGATCTATATGTTTCAAATTTTGGAAATTCAGTTAATCTCTTTATCATTTCCCAGAATATAAACTTTAGCTCGTCTGTATTAAAATCCCCGAATTGCATTATTTACGCAGGCTTACTATTCGCTCTGAACTCTACGTTTGCACACCGCACTCATATCTGCGGCTACCTATCGATGTAATACTTACGCGTCTTGAGATTATAACTACACCATTGTTCAATCCCTTTTTGGCATCATAATGATGTATTATCACTATATTGTGAGAGAACAATGGAGAATGGATTTTTAAATCCAAACATTCTTCTTTTCGATCACAAACGAGTTTATGACGGAATAATGATCCACGAGTTTACTGACAACAACCCAGTGTTGATTTAGGCGTCGGTTACTGTTTACTTTATCATGTAATAAAGATACAAAGTTGGCCATGTATGGGGGAGGGATACGTGATCTTTTATGTGCGGATTAAGCTAGGTGGGTGGTGATATCACACTTTTACTACAACGATCAAGGATGGGACGAATGTTTGTTTTCTCGTACGCGATTTATTAATGGCTTGATAGAAGTTATTACAGAGATGCCGCGTGTACTCCGGGTTGAAGAAAGCTTTCAACTTTCTGGGCATTTAAATAAGAAAAACAGAATATCTTCCGCGAAATAAAGTGGTTCGACCGTCTTGCTGCAGGCTAACACAAATGTATTTATGTAATGTGTCCAATGTTGGACTTCCTCAGACAAATGTATTTCAAGTGTCTTGATTGAGATGAAATGTTTCTGAAATACATTCGGGTTCTCTTGAATCACTTAGAATAGTTATCTTGATTCTTGCTACAACATCTTGCATTATATGAATACAGATCCACTGACCAGGCATAGAAGTAAGATAAGTAGAAATCAGAGCACACGCTCTTATATGACATTATATCACAAAAAGTTCGGTCGACCTTGTTGACCTTGAAGTAGAGTTAAGATCGAACCCAAAAATTCCAGCCCGGCCCGATCCAGGCCCGTGGGTATTAAACCCGAACCGAGCCCGACTAATTAACTGGATTTGCAGATCCAAGTCCGAAGCAAACGTGAGATTTCATATTTAGTAGGTAAATAGCAATTACAGCTCTTTCTCTGTTTTATCCAAATTATTTATTTTATAACAAGTATTACTTAGTTTAGTATCCACAAATAGTTTTAGTATAGATTTTTATAAACCTATATTTATTTGGGAAAAAGTAAGCGATAGTGAAGCCGAACCCGACCCGAACGTAATGATTGACATTTCAGGCCCGACCCTGCCCGAATTTCGAAACTATTTGCAGTATTGTATTTGCATGTCCAGAGCCTTATCCGCAGTCAACATGAGAAATATTTCTTGAAACAGTAAACAGGCCCATTATGGAATTTATGTAATCTTCTCATAGACGCACATAGACATATTTAAGCCATTTTTTTAAGGATTTTACGCCCAATTACACGCTAGAACACAACGACTTAGGTAATCTGGTGACCGCAGGAATATTCGTCCTTTGTGAAATCATGCATGACTGCTGTCAGGGAATTTGCAAAATCAACCTAATTCACCTTAACAATTCTAGTTGGTTAAGAAGCATTAATTTTCCTCATTTAATTCTCTGGCGTTTTCGGTAATCTGGTGACGGCACGAATATTCCTCATTTGTGAAATCATGCCTGATCGCTGTCATGGAATTCGCAAAATCGAACAAATTAATTTTAGCAATTCTAGTTGGTTAGGAAGCATTAATTTTCCTCATTTAATTCTGTGACTTTTTTGTAATCTGTTGACCGCAAGAATATTCGTCCTTTGTGCACTTATGCATGACTGCTGCCATGAAAATCGCAATTCTAGTTGGTTAGGAATCATTAACTTTCCTCATTTAATTCCGTGAATTTTTTGGAATCTGTTGACTGCAAGAATATTCATCGTTTGTGAAATCATGCATGACTGCTGTCAAGTTGAATTTAATTGAGCAAAAACAATACAGTATTATTTTTTACAAATTTTATTTTGTCTGACCAAAGTCGTACTTCCTTAGACAAGTAGTTTATAACAATACACGTGTTTTGGATAGAAAGATGTCTATTCTATAAGTCGTGCTGACCACGTAACATAAGCGTATTACTGCAGCGTTACGTCTGATTGAGGTACACTTCAGACAAGTATAGTTGAACTGTATTCTGAAGAAACGATACAAAATAAAATTGTGATGCGAGACTCTTGGAACACTCGGTTTAATTAAATACCCGTGGATTAAATATAATACGTGGGATATTAGTCAAGAGTCTTGCTACACACTAATTGTGCTTGTCTGAGGAAGTCTGGCATTGGAATTTTATCATTGATAGGGGAAAATATTACTTTTTTAGTGTAGTTTGGCTAATATAATGCTAATACATTCCTATCATAGACTGGAAACATTACGCATTGTGAGCGGGGAATAAAAATTTCAAAATAGGCAGAGGGTGTAATGTTTTAAAAAAGTGGGAATCACGGATTCAGTCACAAGGTATTTCTACAAAAGTAGCGCATTTTAAAGAATGGGTGCTCCCGAAGTATGTGTACCAAAATGGCGCACAACCTGAACATAGCATTGTACCTATCAGGGTTCAGGTTGTGCGTCATCTTGGTACACCTACTTCCGGAAAACCAAAGAAAGTACTAACGCAAATGAATCATTACTTCTGCAAGGCTGCTGTAGAAAGAATAAAGATAACTGTTCCACTTAAGTCAAGGGCCTTAGTGCACACTAATATGAAAATACATCTTTAGCGTTTCATCTGATATAAGCCAGACTTTACCAGACAAACTCAAATCAACTAACTACCGCAAGTTATTCCTGAAACGTCGGCAATATTTCTGGTGGCTGAAGATATACGGCTAATACAGTTGTTTACTTGTGAATAGAATGTGACGTAGTATAAAGTATAGCACGTGTTTTTCGCAATAATTTGTGACTTAGCGGTTCACCCAGGAAATATGGTGGGTGACAATGTGGTCCGGCATCCCTGCCCAGACGTGAGGAATTTTTGTTTCACCCGTCTGCAATTACTAATTCATGTGCCTGATCAATAATAAACACTCAACGCGCAAAAACAAGAAATGTCGATTTCGATTCATTTTGCCTGAAATCTCTGCGTAAATAGCCATGCGCTGTTTCAGATACAACATCCCTGCGTTACACAGATACAGATCTACCAATGCGAAAGCATAAAAGAAAAATAAGAAGGTGCTTCACTCAACTAATGGCCGAATACCGTTAAGAAAATGAAACTAAAGGTATCGTAAAAATAACAAATAATCGCAAAAACCTAAAAAACAATTAATTAAAAAAAAATACTCAAAAATCTAATCTGCCTACAAATATCAGTTCACCTTTTGAAAAAACTACCAATAGACGACAAATACTAATTACGTCATACTATGACATCATAAGTAAGGCATATGCCACCGCCCTGCTACCCCTAGAAGCGCTTGAACTTACTGGAACGCTGCGAAATCACATCGGCGAGTCGAGCGAACCTCAGCTGTCGAGAGAGCTAAATATATCGCACGGATAGGAAAGGAGAAAATATCGATTTAGGTGGATTAGACAGTGACGGAGGTATCATAATATCATGCTAGGCCATATATAATTTTTGTGATTCGTGATTATCGTTGATATGAATATCAGGTTATCATTATTTTATGATCGGCCGTGCATAATTGAGTACAACTTATGACGCGCGGTAATATAGTTTTAAGTTATCATGATATTACGCTCGACCGTACATAATTGGGTGAGATTTATGTCTTGCGCTGATCTGGTGTCGGGTTATTACACCACAATACTCGTTTTATATATATTTGATTGACTTCTAGAACATTTGTTAAGAAGAAGGCAGATCAAAGCTATAATTCGTGTCGAGTTCACGCTAAAATATGGGCTGGTAAAGAGTTCGGGCGTCAGCAAAATTTATACCGTTCGCTTATTACCACCCAGCCTGCCCGAAAGCACTCGCCTTGTCTAGGCCGACAATGACACCGGCAATAATTTTAAAACAGTCATTATTCTCTGAGTATGATTAGCCCACAACACAGACTTACATGTTATTTCGTATCGGCCGCTAGAAGAAGGAAGTTCTAACTCGCATTGAGTTCATCGCAAAACATAAACAAATGTTTAGAAGCGATTAGGTCAAAATTTCGAATGTCTGTACTCTGTACAGACTCAATTGGATCGATGAATGA